TTCTACCAGCACAAATTATTTTTTATAATTATCAATTATTTTTATTTATGCACTTACTTCTAAAAAAGTTTTCTGATGTTTAAATATACTGCAATCATATCTATTCCTTCAAAATTTCAACAGATGTTCCATGCCAGTATATTTAGCAGAGTTCTTCACTATTTATCATTATGAGTAAAGTTAACACTGCTGAGTTGTCAAATTTGATTCAGACTACTTCCTCAGAATCCTGCCCTAGAATTATTCTTGTCCTTCCCATACTTTGGCTGCCTATGAAGGTAATTATTTAAGTTAACTACCACAGATACTGCAATGAAACCATCAAACATTTACAAATGAAATGGAATACTGGTCATTAGGTGACAGAACTGCTTTGCAATTAATTTTTAAAAAGTCTCTTTCACCAGACCTTTAACATGGTCCAGGTAATCAGGCCCAAAGTTATCTATTCAGTCTTATTTCCTATGACTCTTCAACAAAGACTTCCTTCCACTTAGGTCAGGCTTGTCTCCCCACAGATGCGCATGCACCCTTGTTTCTTAAGTTCTCTAAATGCATGATGTCCTTTCTTGTTTGTTCCTCATCTATCTATAGATGACCCATTCAAGAAGTCTAGTTTTCTTTCTCTTTTGAAATCTTCAGTTGCAAAGATCCAAATGACTACTACCTAGACTTTACCTTTCTAAATCATATTATAAGATCATACTCTAAATGTATATTTTTTACAGACTTTATTTTGCTATAACTATATACATACATCAAAAGATACCAAATATATAAACATAAAATATATTCTGAAGGCAGAAAAATCTAAGGGAAAATCAGACCAAGATTCAGAAAGCTAGGTATACCATTTATTAACTGTGATATAAAACAAGGCACAAAGTTCTCCAAGTCTTAATGCTCTTCTTACCTCTGAAATATGGTTAGCTGACTTCACAGAGAGTGTGTATGTATGTGTGAGTGTGCATATAAATTAAATGTTTATAGACTATTTTTTAAAAACTGACAGTGTACCAAAAGATGGAAGAAAATCTACTTCAAATTCCAGGGGATTGTAATCATATAGGCTATATGATTTGACCACAATGCAATACATACAGGAATTAAAAATAAAGACAACTCCCAAAATAAGCTCTTAGGAATTAAAATAATACTGCCTTAAATTATTCTTGGGCCAAAGGAATTGAAATTATATTAATATTGGAATCATAAGATATCAAAACCTATAGGACATAGCCAGACTGGTAGTCAAAGGAAAATACCAATTTAACCAGTATAGAACAAGTACTGTTCAAGAAGCAGGGGGGGGGGGGGAGAAAATAAACTAAAGGTAGAAGAAATAAAATAATGTGGCAATTAGATAAAAAAGTCAAAAGCTTTTCTTTCCAAAAAGCTGATGGAAAACCAAAGTATGGGAGAACACTCTCCACCACATGTAAGGTGACAATACCAAAAATACTAAAACAAACAAACAAAAAGCTTTAAAATTTGTTTTAAAAAAATAATACATATAACTTTATGCCAATAAACTACAAATTTTTAATTAAACAGATGATCATCTAGGAAAATATAAATTACCTGAATTGCTTTAAAAGGTAGAAAAACTACCAAGTTCTTGAAGAGACCCAGTAAAGCTACAGAAGAATTGAAAAGGTTGCCCAAGATCTGTACCCGATAAAGGAATCAGGCCAACATTGTTTTAGAACTGCTGTTACGTCAAATCTTCAAGGACAAAATGATTTCTCTATCTACACTACTCCAAAGCCTGAGAAAAGGGAAAATCTCCTTAATAATTACACAAGGCCAGCATAATCTGAATATAAAATATTGACAAATATAAAAAAGGAAATTGGATCAATTTATGAACACAGATGCTAACTTCATCCATTTTTGATAAACTACATTGTGTACAAAAAGAATATATAAAAACAGACAATGTTTACAATGTTTAAAAAAGGAGGGGTCAATGTTAAATTAATCTTTCCATTCTAAGGATTAAGGATTACAAAGAAATCTGTTCACATCTCAAACAGATATATTAGAATATTTCTAAATTCCAACACCAATCAGTTTTGAAGAAACTCTTTTAACTATGAATTTGAGAAAGTGTTTTTAAATTTGTAAAGGAAAACCTATTTAAAAAAAAAAAGAATGCTATACATCATACTTGAAAATAAAACACTAGAGACAAATCCATTAAAATCAGAAAGTAAGCAAAGGAGCTTATTACTAAAATTATTTTCATATTTAACTATATTCTGAAAAATATGGTTAACATAATAAAAACAGAAATGAAATAAAAAGTCTAATGGAAATTATCCCAATTATGAGATAATTATTGGGAGCCAATGTACTGAAATAATGACAAGAATCAACTAAAAAATTATTAGAAAACATAAGAGCCCAATAAGGTAACTGGATACAGTATAAATAAACAAAATTAATTAGCTCTCCCACTAACTACCCTACCAATAACTTGGTAGAAAAAGTAGGGGTAAGTGACTCAATTCATAAAAACAAATCTATTTTATACGTTATTTTATCTGTGATTGAGCTGGTGACTCTTCCTAAAAAAGAGGTTAAACCTTAGCAAGTCCACTTACCCAGATATAAGTTTCATTCTCCAATTTATCTTCTTATCAGTGAAAACCAACATTTCATCACATGGTTTACCAGTAGCAAACATATATAACATTTTAAAAATTGATCTAATCACAATACATATGGAAGTCCATTTTTAGAAATAGGCAGAGTTGAAAATCTTCTCATAACCAAAAAGCTAATATAAAATAAACCCAATAAAGACATTTTTGGTAATGCGACAGAAGATATATAGATATGTCTACATTACCATAGTATACTATAATTATATATAATTATGTATAATAAAATAAATATTAAAAATAAAAATTAAGAATATACTATATCTAATTTAGGCAAACAGTAAGACAGAAGCAGCTATCATATGTTAGTTACTATGTTATGTATATATTTTGTGAATTAATACTACATGTTGAGATAATGATTGGAATCAACGGCCAAGAAAACAGAACACGTTTAAATAGGCCAATCACTGTAGAAGGAACAAAAAAAAAATTATCAAAAAATCTACAACCGAAAAAGGGGCTAGGCTCATATGGTTTTACAAGTTCTAACTTACTCTTATAGAATAGATAATTCCTATGTAAACTACACCAGAGTATAAGAAAAACAGAAAAGCTTTCACTTACTAAAGCTAACATAAGCATAAAATCAAACCTGATGAAGATAGCACAAAAAAGAAAAATATAATACATTTTTAATAATAGAGAATGTAGAAAACCCAAATAAAATGCTACTGAGTAAATAGTGTGTACATATGAATTCATAAAAATAAAAATTTACTAAGAAAAGTGCTTTAAGAAACTACTGCAGAAAACTTACAATACCTTGGGTCAAAGAAGTTTCATTATAGCGATGAAACTCCAGAATCCAGAAAGGAGCAGAAAGATTTGAAAGCACAGTGTTTTTATAAACTTCTTTACGAAAAAAAGGTATCATAAACTAACTCAAACAGAAATGGCAGACTGGGAAAAAACAGGACATACATCCATAAAGAGAGTAATACATAATAAATGAATACTAAATGCCTTCACTTTAAGAATGCCCACAATATATTTCTGAGTGATATAAGTTACAAAGTAATATGAACAGTAAAATTTAAAAATGAAAACAAATTCTCTATATATGTATGATTGTATAAACAAAAGGAAAAAATAAGAAAGGTTACACAGTGATAACAGTGGTTACACAGGTCAGTGGCAGACTGCATTATTAGTTTTAATTTAAACACCTATATATTACTGAATGATTGCATTGTTTACATATTATTTTTGTTATTTACATGACAAATTTTCTAAAACTATATATTATCAGCTAGAATTTTCCAAATGCAAATCATTTACCTATACCAAAAATACACATTAATTATAAACAATTGATAATATTTACATAAGAACATATATGTGTGTGTATGGTGTGTGTGTGTGTATATATATATATGTATATATGTGTGTATATATATCCCTCAATTACAGATAGGTGAAAATAAATACACATGGACATAAACTTCAGAGATTTGCTGCTGCCTCAAAATCAGAGGGTAAACTGAAAAAGAGAAATACACGAAATATGGAAAATACATAAAAGACAAGATGCAAAGGGCATCCCCAGGTAATGGTGAATAAAGATCCCAAGATATTAGTTATACACTGGGGATAAAAGAAAATCAATGCAGACTGAGGCAGGTTACAAAGCTCTGGAATAGACTTATAGAAGATGTCTATTCCAGAAGGAATCTATTCCAGAAGAAATTTCCCCAAGAAGGTAAAATTGACAACAGAATATGAGGAGACTTAAACAACTTGCAGAGAGTTTAGAAGCACATCAGTAATACATACAGAAAACTAAGTAAACCAAAAAATAAAACAACTCCAAGGAAAATGAAAACTGAGGGGAGGGGGGATGTCAAAGTAATAATGTTTATGACTCAGCTCAATCCTGAGTAGCATACATAGAAATAGTAAATCAAACAGAATTCTGATTTAATGCAAATGACAAAATTTTACACATGTGCATCTGTGCGCGCGCGCGCGTGTGTGTGTGTGTGTGTGTGTGTGTGTAGATAGATGGAAGGGTGGAAACTATGGGGGGGAGCAGGGACAGGAGAAGGAGAGCTCACTGTTTACATCCCCTAGCAGGGAATTCAACAGGAAATGTGTAAACTAAGAACCACAAAAACTCAAGCATTCTGTGTTTACTTAAAGATAAGGAATTCATGCCAAAAGGATTAGATAAAATAACTGGAAGCTGTTA